GTAGCCAACTGGCAGTAGGACCAAAAAAACTATCCCGAAGGATGACATGTTATTGTCAAATGTTAATGACCGTGGAAATTTAAAAAAAAAAATAAAATAAATGTAATAAGATAGGGAGGAGGAAATAGAGGGAAAGTTCAAGGAAGGATTTTCAAAAGGTGTTGGATGTTGAACAGGCAAGAAGATTCATGAGCTGTGTGGGCAGGGTATGAAAAGAATCAAATCCCCTGTTTTTGATGTCAGGACAATCGAGAAACTTCCTGGAAAAAAAAGTTAACAACAACCATATCCGTTGGTATGGCTTACATAATACTTTCATCATAGAAACCTAAATCATATTAAAAATAATAATATAATTATAATATTATATAATATTATATAATATTATAAATTTATAATTATAATATTTTATTATATTTTATTTAATAATTTATTAATAATATTATATATTTTAATGTATCAATATTTAATAAGATAATTTTTTAAATTTTAAATTAAATTTTAATTAAATAAAATAAAATAATTTAAAATTAAAACTCTAATTATTTGTTTTTCTATTTTATAATTATAGTATTATCAGATTAGATTAGATTAATTCGATGAGCATACAAAAGTATCATAACCAAACAACCCGGGGAGGTTATGGGCTTTTGTTATGCTCTGAATTTTAATGGGCATTGGAGATGGACTTGTCAAATTGGTCTGGTTGATTGTGTTATGGCCCTTATGGGTCATGGGTCAGGAAATCCCAAACCCAAAGTAACTACTTCTGTTTGCCAGGGGCGCGGCGTAATGACACTTTGGGCTCACAATGAGTAGGGCTTCATTTAAACGTTTACTTGGGTTGAACGGGTCATTGGATCTTTTTTCATTTATTCATTCATTTCATTTTTATTTTTGATAACATCATTAACATGGATAATCGTGTATTTAGTCTGATTAACACACATTCATTCAGTCTTGTTGATTTACTTTTTGTTTTTTATAACACGAGTAATTGAATATTTAGTAAGACTGATACACCAATATTTAGAAATTATCCTGTCATTATATAAGTCTTTAGGAATATTTAGATTAATTAGGAATGGCAATGGGTCTCCATGGGGTGGGACCCTCTTCTCATCCTCATCCCCATTAATGATGGGTATGGAGATTCCCACAAAGATTTTTGATGGGGTAAAAAATGACTTCTATCCTCATATTTACAGAGAATGATAGGTTTTCGTGGACATTCGGAGTCTTTGTAAGTATTAAATATATAGAATTTTATTTTATTTTTTTGATAAATAAAAGTAGTAAAAATTTAAAACAACTCAAACAAGCGAATACATTAACATATAGTGCAGGAGAGCAATATAGAGTAACCAATTACAATAAATACACACTACCACATATGAACAAGTTTATAAAAAAAAAAAAAAATTGCAAGAACTGCCATACATGTTTAGGTTGGGTTGGATTATTGAATTGGGTTTAAAAAGACTAGAACTAGAAAATGAATTAAGCTAGGTTTGAGAAGACTATTGAATTGGGTTTGAAAAATTTAAAACAACTCAAACAAGCAAATATATTAACATATAGTGCAGGAAAGTAATATCTAGTAACCAATTACAATAAATATACACTACCATATATGTCCAATAAGTTTAATAGCAAGTTCATAAAAAAAAAAAAAATACAGGAATTGTCATACATGTTCAGGTTGGGTTGAACTATTGAATTGAGTTTGAGAAGACTACAACTAGAAAATGAATTAAGTTGGGCAATTTAGGTTAGGTTGGGTTAACCAATTAGATTAGGTGAGTTAAAATTAATTGGTAATATATTTTCAAAAAAATTAATATAAATAATTATATATTTTTTTATTATATATGAATTCTATGGTCTCCACAAGGTAAAAGAAATTTTTTACAAAATTTCATGAGAAAAAATACCTCCAATTTGGTCCTATGAAAAGGAATACTTTTGAAATCTTCATTTCGAGATGGGGATCTCAACAAAACTTTGCATTTCTTGAAGGAAATTGCCATCTTTAAGATTAATTATTTTGATACGATTAATAACAGATAATTAAAAATTAATAATAATAATAATTGTTTATAATGTAAAATATGTAATTTATTCGGATACCATTCTTCAAATTTTAAAACGCACTCACTCCACCTTTAAAGGTGATTCCATTCCAATATTACAAACAAAGGGTTAAAAACTTTAAATTTGGTATTTTTAGCTCTCATTCACTATGAAGCCTCTGACTTTAAATGAAAATTAAAGCTTTAAAGATATCCCTAGGGTTATTTTTGATTGATAATTTTATGGACTAAATTGCCATTTTACAAAACTTGTGCCTGAGAAAAACGAAACCAAGAGGCGCGTGGGCTCGAACTTCTGACTTTATCTGTTCTGTCCGAATAGAACAGCTGGGCTTGAATGTGATTGCACAGTCACCAGATCTCTTACATCATCCAACGACCTTTTCGGCCTTTCCTCCTTTACCTTCATCCCAACCCATACTCCTCATCTGACGGCGCGTCAACACACGTCTCCCGTTCAACGACAAAACCCAACTCCCCAACCACTCCAAACCCATCAATTAAAGGGAAGAAAACAGCAGCCTCATCCGCTCCAATATGGCGAGGGACTTCATCTCTGGCGCTCGACTGTGGACACTGTTCTTGTTCTTATGCTTAACGGGTCACAACAATCTTGTCCCAGTAGTAGAGGCTATATGGTTGACGATTCCCAGCTCCGGCACCAAGTGTGTTTCGGAGGAGATCCAGAATAACGTCGTTGTTTTGGCTGATTACTACGTGATCGACGAAACTAACCCTGCACACATCCCCACCATCTCAGCCAGGGTAAGGGCAGATTTTATTTATTTATTTGTTATCATTATTTTGAGTCCATCTATGTTTATAAGAAATTTCTTGCTTTATTTGGAGTTGATATATGAATCAGGAATAATGTGCAGTAAATTAGCCATCTTGTTAGTGATATGGGTTCATCTTGTTCGATTCAAATTGTGGAATTGTCATGAGATTTGGACTTAGATGAAGAACATGTGAGCCAAGAATTTGCAATTATTATTTAGGATGAATCTGTTTTCTTCCTGAAGCTAGAATATTGGACCCTGGACCCTGTATCAGGGCCCTGGCTAGCCTTTTCAAAGAGGAAACTGCTAATGTAAACTTCTTCAAAGGAGGGGTTTAGGATATATCTATTCTTGTTAATAGGAATCAACTCTCTGTCAAGGTTGAGATTAGTGAGGTTGCCTGTTTGGAATGTTGAGTGATAAAGTGCGTCCGACCTAAAATTAATCAACAATAGCTAAAGTAGCTGACTTTATACTTAAAAATTAATCAATTTCAGAAAGTAAAAATGTCATCCATTCTTTAATATTTCCAACAAATCAAAGATTTCAGAAATTTTGGCATTCATAAAATGTTCTTCTTGTGTAAGGGGTAACTTATGGGCCTTTTTTTTTTTTTTGTTCCTTTGTACAGGTAACATCCCCCTATGGGAACAATCTTCACCACAATGAAAATGTGACTAATGGTCAATTTGCATTTACAACCAGTGAGGCAGGTAACTATCTGGCTTGTTTCTGGATGGATTCCAGTCATCAACAAGATGCAAATTTAACTCTGGGTCTTGACTGGAAAATTGGAGTTGCTACCCGGGATTGGGAATCAGTTGCTAAGAAAGAAAAGATTGAGGTCAGACATTTTATGGACTTTCTTTTCTGGTATCACAAGCAGGTTTTTGTGCCATTGAATTTTGCCAATAATACATTATCATTGCCTTAATACATTATTGTTGCCTTTTATAGGGAGTTGAACTTGTTTTGAGAAGGCTTGAGGCAGTGGTCCAATCCATACATGACAATTTAATCTATCTCAAAAACAGGTATCTATACTTTTCTGCAAAATGCTTTTGTTTACCATAACCATTTGACTCCTGTTATCTTTCTGTTTTCCTTTCTCCATCATCATACTAATCTTCAACTAGTGTCTATTGTTATCTGATACTCTTCATTTGTAATAGAGAAAGGATTCAGTTCGCAGTCCCTCTAGACCAATCAATGTAACATATTAACAATTAGAATGAAATCTGGCTGTTATTTTAATGATTTTGAGTATATAAATCATTACAAGTTATTAGAATGTGATGATATTGGTAAAGGTATTGACATTATCCTTACCTTCTCTCGGATGCCTACAGGGAAGCAGATATGAGGGAAGTCAGTGAAAGAACGAATGCAAGAGTGGCATGGTTCAGTATCATGTCTCTTGGCGTCTGCATTGTAGCTTCGGTTTTGCAGCTATGGCACTTGAAGCACTTCTTTCAAAAGAAAAAACTCATCTAGATTTTACTCTCTTCCTGTTGTTTTCTGATACTAAGTAGGCATGAAACATTAGTTATAGAGAATATAGAGTTCTGTTCAATTCTCACGGTACCATTGTAGTTTCTTCTGTTCTTCTAACTGGAGCTGGATGATGAGAAGGGAGAACTTAATGAATGGATGATATTCAGAAGGCTATCAAATCGGAAGCCCAGTGGATTAATATGATTTGAGGAGCCTAACCCTGCAGCTGTAAATGACTTTGAAACATTACCAATTAGCTTCATATCAGATACAGATACAGTACCAATTTTAAAATCCACAAAATCTTGTTCATTTCAAGGTCTGTCTTTGTCCTGTTTCCAACAATATCAAGCTTCATGTTGTTTTTCCTTAAAAGAAATTGCTGTAAAGACATTAGCTGTGTATTATGTTGCAGGTTTTTCTTTAGTATGATATTGCAGTTGATTGAACTGTTTGAAATTTGATTGTCATGTATCAGCTTTACAAATGAGTTAACCAAATTGTGTAATTTGAGTATAATTCATATCAAGTATGTACAATAGAAAATTGAAGTATAGTCTGCTTTACAGGATTTTCTATGTACAAACTCAAAGGACTAAGCAATTGAAAATGTACAAAGTACAAACTCAAAGGACTAAGCAATTATAAAACAAAGAGTTCAGTGTTCTGCAATAAAATAGCCATTAGATAGGGGCAAGCCTTTGGAAACAAGAGCTTGATGATTTGATGGTTGGCGTCCATGTAATCCGATGCGGCCCCGGCTCTAAATCTGAACTGAAAAATGCTTTGTATAAGATAAGCATTGTATGCTGTATGAGTCGAACTCGAAATCTTCAGGACCTTTTGCCTTCTATATTAGAGCATTTTTTGTTGACAACAGCGCAGAGGAGGTCTCTGTTATTGCGAAATGCTATCTACGGGAATGGGCAGAGTGGCAACTACAACGGTGACGGTAAGATCAATTTCTATGGCGCTAATAGCACCGCGGAGAACCGGATGTGGTGTGACTCCTTTGGCATTTTTTTCTTCTGCTGCTTCACCGTCGAAATCAAGAAAGTTAGTTCTCTACTCGAAGCCCGGCTGCTGTTTGTGTGATGGTCTCAAAGAAAAACTCCAGGCTGCCTTCTCGCTCTCTGGTCCAGATTCCCTTCACGACGTTGATTTACAGGCAACCCCAACTCTCTCTCCATCTCTTTCTCCGTACCTGTACGTATGACATAGCCTGTGATTGTTTAAATTGAAATTTGTTTCTGGGTTTTCTTAGGTGAGGGATATTACCACCAACCCTGAGTGGGAGAACGCTTACCAGTATGAGATACCGGTTTTGGCTAAAGTACTTGCTGATGGTTCTGAGGTTAGTGTTTTTGCCTTGAGCTTTTACAGTGGGATTGTCTACAGAATTTTGCAAATTAGAGCTCTTCCAGTGCTTGTATTCTTTACATTTCAGTTGAATAATATTAGAATCCAACGATTATGACATCCGCAGGGGAGAAACATTTACACTTGGAACTTTACACTCAACCATGAAAATTTGATGTTATTGTTATGAAACAATGTAAAAGCAAACTCATTTATGGTATATAAAGCGAGAATTGTTTGTCAATCTGCCATGTTGTTGGTGATTGACAGGAGTTGGCATTTATTTTGAGTGTTAGATAGATGGTAAACTAACTAGAAGCATTTTGGATAGGCAAGACAGAAGGCATTCTAGCATTTAGCTTTGTAGTTTCTTGGTGGATGGCTGGATGCCTTGATAAAGTATATGGTATGATTCTTTTCGGTTTGCAGAATTCTTTCTTCTAACAGTATTAACTTGTAACCTTAGGGCTTTGTACATTTTTGTTGTTCCTTTTGGAGGGTCACTTAGATGCGTGACTACAATGATGCAATCTTTAGGTCTCTGCTTAGATTGGTTGTTTAAGCAACTATCAAAATGATTTTCCTCCTACCCTTCAATGCAAAGGCTAGCTGGATATTGTCATACCTTTTCTCAAATGTAAAATCAAATGTAGATCTAGTTTCTTGAAAGAAATGGCTTATGAGAACTGTATTTTTATGTAGATTACTTCAATACTTTTTCTCTCTTGATGTTGTTGCCTAGATTCTCTATACTAATTTTCTGCTCGTATATGAGTGTAAAGCCTATTAGCATTGCAGTTTAGAAGGTGGGCAATAGTTATAACATTCAAATTTAGATTATTTTGATTTTAGTGGCGGGGAACTTTTATAGGTTCTTCTATATTTTCTTCAACGGTTCAATTCCATCTAACCATTGAGGAGTTATCACTTATAAGTAATCCTGAAGTAGTTCTAAGTTTGTAACTGACTGGATAACCCACATGTTAGCAGTGCCTATTTCGAACTCCACTTGGATACTAGGATCTGTTTCTATAAACATCTCTTTCCTTTACTTTTATATACTTTATTTGCTCCATGAACTAGCATTTCAGCCACGCTTTTGTTGCTCGAAGCTTGATTTTAGTTGTTCATTTAAGATTCTAGTCTTCTCTAAAGTCTAAATAACTTGATCAGATCATCCTACTTTGTTAGTAGTTGGGTGCTGTATTGTAAAACTTTCTGCACCATTTCCGATCTTTTCTTGTTTAATTGCTGTAAATGACCAAAATTTATTGTTAATATTACTGCTATTGGGTGTCTTAGTTACGCTACATCACTTGGTTCCCATAGCACACCTGGATCAGGATATGAGGCTTTGGCCAATGTTTTGTTAGCATCGTGAAGAACCTGCTTGAACTGATTACCATCCATCTATGCATCAATCAAATGCACCATGGTGATCAAAGAGTGCTACATTTGTATCTAGTAACAGGTCCTGTTCAACAGTGTATATGAATAAGTAGAAAAAAAATTGTAATTATAGGGTTGGTCAGTGTAAAACTTGGGTGGAGTACACAGATCAATTCATCAATAGTGATCACAAATAGGTCCTTGAAATTGCATAAGTTTAT